AAAAAGACCGAAGCGAATGGTATCGATCCGAATCCTACTCTGGAATGCGCCACGAATTCTGCTTCCATTGAGAATCTTAGTGACATTTGTTTGCGACTCAGCCTGGACCATGACTGAAGGAAGTCCTGTATATTTAATGTTTTTCATCCTCCTAGAAACCTGATATTATCATGTTGATCTAGGAAATGGAAGGCTTGTTTAGCCCGGGCGAGAATCGTTACCTTATTTGATTCGTGACCGTGTGCCTGGTAAGCGATGCTACATGCCCCAACTCCATTTCCTACCTGGGTTAGGGCTCTCGAAAACACTCCTTCTAGATTGCATTCTCTACTGGAGTTATAGTCACACAGACCGCTCGGCTCGTAGTTGTGTTCATTACTCGCGATTCCTGGGGACGGATATCCATTAGGCTGGGCTGAGGCGCGTTACCCGGACAGTTCCGTAATGTCAAGATGGTGCTGCTAATGCGGTGGGTCTGTTCGTGGTCAGTGTCAGTGTGTTAATAGGCGCATGTGGTGGTCGATGTTCGGGTCAATTGCATACGCACGGGCGCCTCTAAACAACCGAGACGAATTAGCATCTTTCTCATTCATTCCATTCCGTTCCTCCAGCCCATTGAAGGGACATCTTTCATCGACTTGCAGCCAGTCTTTAGCCTCGTAAGATGTGCCTCTCGAAAACAATCTTTACGCTGAAGATAACGCCCGTATACTAATGGACACAATTAGGAGGGCTCTCAGATCTCGAGGGGAAGCTCTCAGAGACCTGTTAAATGCATAAGAGGATTAAGCCGCATCATAAACCAACTTTGGTGATGTTCGCCAATGGTTGCCAAGTAACAGCCAAAGTAGTTCGGGATGCAAATTTAAGCCTTATTTGCCTTGGTGATGGATTGGAAATAGAGCATCCAAAGTGGCAGGCGCTTGCTAGGTTCACCTTAAGGGTTCCAAAACAATTTCAGCTCTAACTAGAAACTCAGACTGATTGAGCTCGCTAAAGGATGGAGAAGCAGTTTTGATTTTGTAATATAGTTTATTGAAGCCTCTCCAGGATTGTAGTGCTCAACAAGGCTGACGTTTTGGCTCTCTTGGCCTTCTGCAGAGCCTAACAAAGTGGAAAATTTGAGATCGACTCCTCAAAGCTTCCAACAATCCCGAAGAGAATTCCAGTAGACCAGAAAATTCTCAATTGAAGAAGCATTACCTGAACACTCCCGATCCTTCAGCAGAAAATTCTATTGACTTCACCCTGCAAGGGTAGAAATCCTCTGGTAAAGAAGATTAGTAAGCGAGTGTGAGGGATGCAGGCTTGTATATCTGGTTATATGAGTGTGACATGAAGGGACGCGGGCGGTTGCGCTGCGTATCTATCAATGCCTCTCTCAATAAACAGTAAACAGTGACAAGGAGCCGCACACTGCCCAGCTGACCGCTAAAGTGGAATGAATCTCGTGGTATTTTAAATGGTTACTATGAATTCCAGAACTTCTGTGGTTTGAGCCCTCATTGACCCAATCCGGGCACATTGTGGTTACAATCTTATAGTAAGGGTTAGGTTTTTATCTCCATTCTTTTGCGCATTGTTTGCAGGATTGAGTAATTGTTTACTTTTTTCGGCCTTCTCCACCAAATTCTAAAGATCGGGATTCAAGAGCAACAGATGAGATGAGTTTTTAGCGCTACCAACCTTTTGGCAACATCGAAGTATCTATCCAATAATTTTGAGCTACATCCTGAAAGCGACCGTCAAAGACATGCCAAGTGCTGTGATAACGCCACAGAGAAGCCGAAAAGTCGACCAGATAGTGCTCGAATCAAAAGAGGCACGAGTGAGCAACCTAACCTGATCTTAGCCACCTATTGTAGCGGTTTGCCAGTGGCCGGCTCCAGGCTGATTTGGTTCATTACCATAATTGGTAATAGTAGGTAGTGACGACAGCCACGGCGCTGATGAATTGGTTTGACTTAGTTATTTCAATCGCTATCGAGGAACTTCCTACATTCCCTGCGAGGTTTTCGCTTGCCCGTCGTAAGGTCTTTACAATCGATTTGTCCAACGGGATTGAAAAAAAATTGTTTCTATTTCTGCTTGGTAATATAATAGAGTTAGCAGAGTAGAACAATGAGATTCTGAAGTGAATAGAAGAACTCGCCCTTTTGTTCTGTTCATAGGATTTCCAAAAAAGTTCTCATAAGCGCAAAGTTCATACTCAACTTTTTCCCCGGGAGGGGAAGGTGTGAGAGGGAGCAGATTTCAACCATTTAGAATATCTGTACGCCATGAAGATAAAAGGGGGAAGGCATGGTGATGGACAATCCCTTTGCGGTGCGCCGACGCGCTACCATCCTTCAGAATATGGAGAGCATACGTTGTTGGAAGGGTGTTATATTGGCACTGTATTGGGAACTTCACGTTTTAAAAAAAAGGGGTCTATTCCAGTTAGGGGGGCATCATGGTGCGGTGACTCCCAAAAAGCTACGGTAACTCTGAGCCAGGGGGAGTGTAGCCAGCCTAGGGGGGTGGGGGTGAGGGCAGTCACTTGACATGCGTGAGAAGCTGGAATGTTCGAGTTTACATTAGCTCGCCGAGAAACTGCATCATGATGCCCCCCCCTAACTGGAATAGACCGAAAAATCTTCCTCAATCCACTATTACGTTTGTTAGTATTGGTGACAATGCCATCTTACTGTATACTCGACGACACGGGGAAGGAATGGAATAAACAAACAAATAGATAAATAATTATTTGCGTAAAATTCTCACGTTTTGAAAATTGCGACAATTTTCGTAAAGTTCTTCCATTTCCCTGAGAATTTCTTTTTACTCTTCGCCAGTTTGGCTAAATATGACATCTCACGGGAACTGTGCTCTTTGAACGAAGCGCCGTGACGCGCAGAATAGAGTATCGATTGGGTTTTCGCAAAAATCGATAGTCATGTTGTGCTGTGTCATCTAAACTTTTTGCCGTACTTCTGCCAACTCATCCAACTGAAACTAGGGTTTTTGATATGGTGAAATGATACACCAGGAACTCTATTTTTTTGGTTCCGTTTTGAAACTTTTTCTCGATTCATCGATTATTTTTGGAGTCACAATCTGAATTTAGGCTTTTCATCTCTTGCTTACATAATGTTTTTCGGATAATATCAATGCCATTACGAGAAAAATAAATAAATTGCTTGAAAAGATTGATTTTCAATCTCGATTTTCAGATCAGTCCAGCGTGGACTGTGTGGCTGTTCACCTTCTTGTTGGCATGATGCGATTGCTGCAGAGACACCGAATCGTGCCATCTCTGCGATCACTGCTGGCAGCTGACGAACGCGCTTTTCCGAAATCTTGTCCTGCCGAAACTCTCCACTCTTACTCTGCTAGCCGACTATGACCATGCCTTGGAGCAGTACTTCACGCTGCCGTTGGCGTCACTGCCTCGTCCTGCCAAACCGTTGTTCATCCTCATCGACAACATACTGCCACATATCTACGATCTAGTGTTAGCGGTAAGTGGATGCCATTTCTTGCGCTTTTCACAGAGACGCTCCGGAAGTTTCATTGTCAAGGAGCTGACAGCGGTGTTGTTTACGAGTGCCAAGGATCGCCTCTCACTTATGAAGAGGCTTTGTTCCGGTGCACAAGGGCGCACTAGGGCAGCTTGGCTGGGCTAGATGTCAGCGCGATACGGTTTGTTGAGTCAACAGAGGAGGATGGATCTCGGATTTCAGCAGGGACTTTCGCCAAGCTAGCTTTGAAAAAGCGCAAAATAGTTTCTAAAAAAAATGCGTTATATGAGGGGCGGAACTTTTGCCTTCTAATTGAACATCACAGATGGTGTAAATATAATGATTGACGCAATGAATCGAGTACTTTTTTCCGTGAGGTTTCTCCTCCAATCGCTTGTAAAATCACAATATAAACCTCTGAATGCCTAAAAAATCAGAATAAATGTTGAGAAGCTAGTATTTTCAATTTCCTATGGTATTTCTGGAGAATCTTTGTTTATCTACAGGTTTTTCACGGACGTTCATGTATTGTGTGTATGGGAAACGGTGGAGGGAGGGAAAAAAGGCTAATTTCAGGCTTAACAAAGCCCCGAATAGATCTAGAATTCACTGATACCTGGGGGGGGGGGGGCTTCAATGCATCAGATTTTTCTGGAAACTCCTGTGGGCACATGTTTAGTATTCCGGAGTTTATATTACGGAGTGAGTTACGATTTCAATGAATATATTTTTTTATTTTTTTCCTGTTATCCGCTAATTCGGGTGGGAGGGGAACTGCACTACTACAATGGGATGTTCACTTCATTTTCACTTCATTCTCTTATGATGATTTTGAGTTTTTTGGTATAAAAATTGGCTCAAAACGATTTTGGCATGAATCGAATTTAAATGGAATCCTCAGCCTGGAAATTAATTTTGACGTGACCTTCTTCCATTTTTGGTTCGCGAATCAAATTCGTTCCAATTTTGAGTAATAATGTTTTTCAATGAAAACTACAAATGCATGCGCATATGGTGGAGCCCATTTCGCGTGCCCATTCGGGCTTTATTACACTGGCCCGGTCCCACAATAAGGTGCCATCAAGTTTTGATGCGACTCTTTTACTATCCTTTTTTCCAAAGCTTATTCATATATAGTACTCTCACGGGTAAAGGGGATGTGCTATGCAGCGTACATATGTACGTTTTGATTTCCGATAGGATAGAAACCCCCACCCCTCTTAAAGGGAATCTTCCACGGAAAACATCGCGCCTCCATTCCTACAAAAAAACGATACCTTAGGCCCCTTGCTTCATGAAGATAGCAAAAAGAACGGAACATAGGCGATGGTTTTGATAATAATTATGATAACCAGTTCGACTATGAAAATTTTGAATTCCCGCTGTAAAACTTCCACAACTGTTAGCGGCGTGGAGTCAACACGTGCAAACGTGTCAAAAGCGTGAACGTGAACTGGATTCATGTTGGGCCCTTCCCATAAACTGACACGTGGATCCGCACCTGCCACGCACTTCGTCACAGAAGCACTTCCGGTCCCGCCTACTGGTCCAATCCGGTCCCACAGATGGGTCTTTCCAAGGGCTGTTTCTCTTGGGGGTTTCATCATTTTCGCTCTGAACTTTGCATATGGTCTTCAATGACCATGCCCAACACCTGTACACAAGGAAAGGATAAGCAGTCTTTCCGTGGAAGATTCCTTTAAGTGACTCAAATTCGCTCCCATGAATATGCTGAAACTTGCGGGAAGTGTTTTCTTTGATTTCTCTGACTTTTTGGTCTAATTTTCAAAAGCACTACTCACCAGTTGATGTCGTTATTGTAGTTTTCAAAAAATTACTTGCAAGTGAAGATTTTCTGATGCTCTCGGAACTCTTCATACTTCTCCTTATGTATATAATTGTTAACTTGGTTATACACTATTCTTTTACCTCGCACTTCTTTTTCGGGAACGTACTTAACTAAATTGAACCGTCTTTTGAGGTGAATGATAAAAGGGTATTTCGATGCTGATAATTTCTTTTTGGTGTGGGCCATGCATTCTACTTCCATTCAATTCAGTGGCATTTTGTATGCGATTTTGTCCATACAAATGCGGGTTGGTCGACGCAAACGTCAGTGTTTCATCCTCCTAGAGAAGCCTTGGTACCGGTAGGTGACCATGGAGGTGTGGAAGGTTAGGTTGACATAAACGAGATTCGATCCTGTATTTGATCAAGTATGGGCTCATATATGAAACCGAATCAATCACTGGTCAGATTCGACCAGTCGGTGACCATTCATCTCCTAGGTGAGAGAGTATCACGCAAAGACCGTTCCCTTTGAATGGCGGCACAATTTTTTATGAGCTCTAATCGCGCTAATCCAAAGGCGGCGTCCCACTGAGAGGCTGGCGCTATTAGAGGCGACGTTTACGACGATCACATTTGCTCGGTGATATACAGCGATGGACGTAAACATTAGGGGTAATTGGACAGGGTGACGATCGGTGGGCTGAGTGATTCCATTGCGAGTGAAGGCGAACGGGGTTTTCTTATCGGGTCGAGGGAACGGAAAGAATTGTCGCTTGTTCCGAAGGTTTCCTAACTCTCTTGCAGGCGATCCTTATCATCAAGAAGATGTTTTGGGATGACGTCCAGAAAGTTCCTACCGATATAACGCTGTTCTAGCAGTTTTCAGAGGATCTGAGTAGGACCTTCTAAAAAAATTGGCTTCACCCAGTCTTTCTGAGAAAAAAAGCTCGAAAAATGAGGTAGATGTCAGGGTAGGGGGAATTCGGTGGTGTGCACAAATTGGATCACCGTGCGTGGCACTAGCTACCTCGCAAAGAATCTCCCCCACAGCCGTTCCGCAACAGCGTGAGTACATAGTTGACGCGCGCGACGCCGCTACTGTCGCGCAGCAGCAGTCCTCACGTTCCGACCTATGCCTTTGAAAATGGAAATAAAGCGTGTAACCAAGGCATAACTTCCTATAATGGTGCCTGGTTACGGTCAAAAGCTATTATGGGGGAGCACTCAAAGGCGAGTCGATGTAGTGGTTTTTCTGCGCAGTTCTTCGCGGGGTTATTAGCCAGATTCTAGTGGCATATTTTTGTGGTTGCCTTTTTCAGAGTTTGAAGCAAAGCAAAGCAATCTATATCCGCTTGATCGGACGTCTACCCTAAATATGTATGCTCTTTGCACAGTGTGGTTTTCATTGCACCACAGAGGCCTCTACCTTTAGCTAAGACTAAACAAATCAAGGACAAGAATCTAAGAAAACAGGGTTCTCGAGCGAGCCTTGAGGGATCAGGCCCTTTTTTTTGGGGAGGGGGCTTTGTCAGAGTTTTTCTTTCTTTTTGATACTCCGCTACTAAGAAGTGCTTTCCAGATCAATCGCTCCCTTCCATCATGGATGCGACTCGCCGTTACATCAAGACCCCTTGCTCCGTCTGATCAGTACAAATTCGAGAGATTTCATGACCTTGTACTGAGCGAATGTGAGTTTATTCTTTCTTCCTTAATAAGTCGAACATAAGAATGCTCCGCGAGAACGTGACTCACTGCCGAACCATGCTGTCCCCGATCTTAAAACCGACCCCAAGCTCATGGATCGTTTAATTTATATTGATCGATTGGCGATTCAATCCATCAATATTACTTGGGACATTATTTTATATTTTATTTCTTTATTAATCGCAGTTGGTTTAGGTATTGACGAGCTGGATCGTTTCATAGAAGTTCGCCTACCTCAGTGTCTTCACTGCGAAGTACTGGATGCCTGTGATGTAAGCATCAAATACTTAGTAAAGGGATGTAGTGGAACGCACCCTACTGGATGCCTGTGATGTAAGACCACCGCTAGTGACTTTCTGAAAACTATTTCATTCATTCATTTGTTTCTCTGAATTTCATTTTCTTTTCGCCAGAATGGGTCGTTATGGTTTAGATAGATCGGTATTTCTTTTTAATTTTCACAGAGACCCTAAGCTAAAAATTTTGTTTGAAGAGTTCCTGGTTCTTCGTTGACCAATTGGCACGTGCCATCGATGCCGGCATAATTCCACCGGATCGTGTACCGTGTAGTGTGAAGGATTTGATGGACGACGTTTGCCTTGCTCTACCTCAACGACTGCCCATTTACCTTCTACTGATTAAAGTGAGTCTTATGAAGTGGCTTTGATTTTCCGTAACTATGTGCAAATCTGAATATGACCCTTCGCGTTGGCATGAGTGGCTCCTCTAATTCCTTGTAAAAATGTCCGACTTCTGACAAATTCTGAAGTGGACCTTACGCATTGGCAATCGCCGTTGCGCGCGCTTCTCGACGCATTTTTTATACTTTCTCCAAGTGGTCCTTACCCTTCCAACAACTTAATCATTAGTCAGATACTGTTTTTCTTCGATAATGTGACTGAGCGTTTCGAAGCATGAAAATGCCGAAATATCTTAGCTCAACGAGCTTACTGCTACTGAAAGCGTGACCTAATATGGAGTCACGCTGTCCCCGACCTAACATTTGAGATTTTTCTGAATCGCTTGAGCTGTCTATCACTTTGGAGTGAATATGTGGTGGGAACTTTCGCCAGAAAACAGTCGATATTAGAGGAGAATTTAGCTATCGAAAAACTATGAAAGCTGATGACCGCAGGAGACCATGCCTTTTGTGATGCAGACACAGAGCGGCGGTGTAGCAGCGCCACCAACCATCGCTTACCTTCGTCGCCAAAGGTAAAGGATCCCATGAAATAACAGAAGATTAAGCGATCAAATACTGAACAATGATAGGCTCTTAGGAGTGCGCCATACACTTCGCTTCTGTTCACAATCACTAAGTCAATTGAAGGCGTGTTTGGCCAACTTAATGGCTACGGGGAGCTGTTTGCCTTCAGATATATCAAGGTTTTGGGAGGCAAATCATTCTAGTGAATAATTGAGCCGGTCGGTCGGCAGGGGGAAACGAACCTATGGACGATACAAGTCTGTGTTGCAAAGCATACACCCATCGCGCTGGCTTCTTCATTCCGTTTAGTTAGCCCCATTCAAGTTTTTGTACCGCGAAGCGTCTCTGAGAGGACATTTCGCAATTCTTAAAAATCAATTCGAATATTTGAGGGAAAATCATGTCCGTGCAAAAATTCAGTCCATTTAGGCCTCACGGCAGCCGCCGCCGTTGAGTTTTTTCTACGCCGTCTCGCAGCTGATCATACGAGAGAATGTGCAGATGATCGAGCGCGAAATCAGTGCAATCAGCATCGTTTTGCAAAGTACAGGTGATTTTTTTCGGCGCTCTCAGCGTCTCAAATCTTGACTGCGGTATTCCTAATTTTGCGTGGCAATTTTGCTGTTTTGTCTTCCTCTTTCTCAGTTAGATAACCTTCGCTCTCTTTGCCAAAATTTTTCCTTGTATATTATTTTGCCAAAATGAGCTTTATGAAGGCTTTTCAGATCCTTTGGTTGTATGTGGTTCGTGGGCAGAAGTCGATGGCGATCTCGCACCGTATCATACGGCTTGGGCGGAGTTCTACAAGACGAAACGACGTAAAACACCACAAGATGTCGTCGAGCTGGCTTATCACCTTGCCCATTCAAGTGAGATCTACCGCTGTTAAGACAAAAAGCTGTTCAAAGGAGGAATTCACGATTAGAATGAAGGTCACGGACCTCATGAGTGGTTGCAGACGGACGCGCAATTCGCATGGAAAAATTTGACCTCGGCGACCTATCATGCCTCAAAGCTGGCGGGTCCGGCGATCTCCGCCCACCGATCATCTGATCACTCGCCGTAGTTCAATACGTGGCGAGTGATTAGATAGCTGAGAGAGCGTAGTGTTGAAGAGGGCACAGCGATGAGAGTCGCATCAATGCTCAAATCAACGGGCAAGGAAGGGGTCCCATTTCTCGGGTTCTGGGCCGTTTCTCATGGTTTTTCCTTCTTTCGTGTACCACTCACCATCCCTAGGTTAATTTGAAATGGGTTGCTTTTTCATCGTGAATTCGTCCTTTAATCTTGGTCGATCCTGTTCTGGGATGCGCCATGTATTAGATTTTGATTCAAAATTGCAGTGGCGTTTGAATGTATTTTTGAATTCTATTTTCGAACTTCTAATTTTTGAATTCTGCTCTACCTTGTGGGGATCAATCTCCATAGTAGTCCACGCTTATCTCCCTCGGTGCTGATAGGATCCAGAACGATAGAAAGTTTCCAGGACCTGAGCGAGATATGATGCAGGACCTGTTCCCTGGACCATGCGTGTAGCAGTAGCTTCACTTTGCACTGCCCTACCATCATTCTTCGACTATTACGATTAAATTTTAAAATCACGGCTTTTTTCAATACTTCAAAGTTTTTCCAAAGAAAGTCAGGAAAAAATTTGGACAAGACCAAAATTGTTTCATAGCAAAAAGGAGTCCCTTCCCTGCGTTTTTTCCTTTGCCTTTTATTTCCTTATTCTTCCGTTCGCTATTTTGTCCTGATTCATGAAGTGGATTGGGCTGAATTTTGCCTCAACTTCAGCAGCATGTCACGCAAGTGTCACGATTGAGATGCCCTCTCAATTAGATGAGTCAATAGGGCGATAATTAAGAGGTCAATCTGGCGGAATGTGTCAGTCGAACGCCGACACTATCAGCCGAACGCATCTATTACGTCGGCAAACGTCCATGAACGTTGGCAGATTGCCGAAAGAACGAGGGACCAGTCGCTCTGCAGTAAAGTTGTCATGCAGAGTTACAATGGCCCTTGGCACATATTCTGACCAGAAGTCGAAAATTTTGAGACAGTGATCCCGATTGTTGGAGGGTGAAGCAGTTTTGAAGACGTATTTAATTTGGCGTCATTGGTTAACTAAACCCCTAAACTCGATGGGGGCGGGGTTGCGTTTGCCTCTTAACGCCTTTCCGCCAATGACGTTCGATGACGTCATAAAAACCGCTCCGCCCTCCAGCTATCGAGATCACTACCGTCAAGTCATATCTACTATTCTACCTATGAGGGGGTAGAGTTCCAAGTGCAAATCAGATTCTTTGACGAAGCAAAAATAGGGAACTAGCTGTTTCTGCCCTACTAACTAGCAAACTCATCCTCTTCACAGAAGTCTCGAGGCTCTAGGTAATTTGCATAGTATCACAAAAACAGTGATGGGAGAAGATATTTTTCAAGAGCGATTGAGCCTAGTATTTTGACCCAACTTCAATTTTCGTGTAGTAATTTCGAATATTCTTGACTACGTGAGCTTAATCTTGCTACTTACGGAGTCACCTTTGCTATCCAGGGCAGATCAGAAGCGAGGTTCAAGCATTGCGCGCTCAGTGAGTTCTAGCTCGTCCACGTCAAGTAAGCTATCAATCCCAAAAGAATTACATTGAGGTAGTCATAGAAAAATTGGAAGCCCTTGCGCAATGTAAAAGTTGTGAATCCCTCTAAATAGATTTACGATTCGGGACGGAAGTCGAATGCATGGCTGATCCACAAGAGATTGACGGATCGAGCACTTGCTTCCTTTTTTTGTCCTGGTCATATATGAAGCTTTTAATTTTATGTTCAGCAGTTCCTCCGATGGACTCGATACGAACGCTGTCGTCTGTCGGTGCTGGTGATCTTATTCTGAAGTGTTCGGTGATCGACATTCCAACTTCTGTACTGCTGTCGAAAGCCGGTGCTTTGCTACAGGACTTGTCTTTGAATGTGAGTGTTCTGCATTTTGTCGTCGAATCCATTAGTTGCACTATCCTTGAGCGCTGCATTTTCCCATGGAACCCTTCCTTAATCTGCAAATTAGAAATGCGAGACGTCATTAGGCGCACATAATTCTACCAACGTCGCCGTAGCCTCAGCGAATGCAAATTCGTCGCTTCACGACGGATGGACTGAGGTATGACAAATGGAATCGGGTGGAACACGCAGACCTAGGGACAACCGCGTAGCCACAGGGATATTAGCTGTCGTGACGTTTGAGCAACTGCCAACCATTAATGCTCCATGGCTGAAAAATGGCCTGTTTGCCGGCTGACTCGTAGGTGCTCGCAAACCAAACAATTTACGCTGGACTGACCTGCTTTTCAGAGCTTGAGAGGTTCTCTTGCAACATTCTGAGCCAGTTCAAAAATTGCTGAGGCAATAATGGCTAGCAAATACGATATGCTCCTGGAGAAGGTCTCTACACGATTTCCCATCCCCTTCGGTCCTCCAGTAGTCCTAATTTGGCGCACCTGCTCTTACCTAAGGGTTAAGCTCCATTCTCTGAAAGTCCATAGAGGGTAAGTGAAACGTCACGAAATGATAATTCCTCTTTAAATTGTGGAGCTTTTTTGAAAAATTTACCAAAGAAATTAAAATCCAGAGTAAAGGTGTGATACGACATTCGATAAGCCTAACTGCCGTGGAAATGGGTCCCAAGCAGGGTAAACCGTGCGTTACGCAATCCTCAGCGAGGGGTCGTTGAATTTTTTTGGAGGGGGTCGTATAGGTGTTGGTGAAGGTAAAATGGTCGTATTTTTTGAAGTTGGAGGGGTTGGGGTGGCGGAAGGGTCATTTTTGGGCGCTTTCCCGATAACTCCGGTGGAAATTCGAACATGTCTGAAGGTGTTGAAATTAGGGCATTTGTTGTGTCCACGCTCCCTGCTCAAGATGAACGTTTCGAGTCCGAGGAAGAAGAAGTGGGCGGAGTTGGACTGTGTCGACAGGTCTCAGTACTGAATGCTACAGAAACAGTCATGATGGTGAGAGCGGTGACGGGGAAAGGGGCGGGGGAGGGGTCGTAATGGAGGACTCCTCTAACAATAAGGTTGATGGTGGCGGTGAACAGTCGTATTGAGACCCCCCCCCCCCCGCCCTCCCTTAAAGGAGTGGGTCGTAATAGTAAAATTTTCGGAACTGGA